GAGAAAGACCCACGAAGATGCAGCAAGCACGGACAGGAAGATGCAACAGCAGACACGTACGAGGTTGTCAGCAGCTAACGAACGCCAGGTCGTCGCTTCTATCGCGCCAAGTGTGCGCCCGCCAATGTAGTTCCGCACCAGCAGCACGCCACATGTCATTTGCAAGTGCAATCGTCACAGGCAGGCATCGACTGCGGTTTCGCGTCGTCGCACATATGGCGTGCGATATCCAAAAGTAGAGACAAACTCGTGTCATAACGTCTACGGTTTCAGAAAACCGGAGTGCGCTAGGGGCATTCCGCCATGACGATGCACGCATTTCGCCATGGTTTTGAGGAGATTTCGTCATGGAGCTGCTACGAGCTCTTAAGCAGCAGCCATTACTGATTGGATCTGGGTCTGGAAAGTCGAGATTGGAAGGAAGGATTGGAAAACGTGAGGGAAGATGGTTTGGTTGGAGTTTGGAAGCACCAAGAGCTTGGGAAGGGAAAATTGCTACAGTGACAAGCAGCTTGGCCAACACTAAATAATAGCTTGGTTTGGGTTGGGAGCACCCCAACCTCTACGGTGGTACACCACCTCATCCACCCCATCCTCCAAGAAAAAAGAATTCACTAAAGCCTACAACAAGGGGGAGTTTTGGAAAACCTAATAAAAAAAAAAACGAATACTGTGCACTAGTGCTGTTTGGTTTTAGTATGGTCCCCTTCATAAGCCTCCTTGTTAAGGGGGGGAATAATTGTTCCCTTTGAACAGTACTTTTCAACTCACCCTTATTATTATCTTCCCTGATTTCCTTGTGCCAGGTGGCACTCTACTTTTCTTGCTTCTACTTTATAGTCCCACGAAGTACTTTCCATCATTAGATCTTGCATGCTATCTCAACCTTGCTTGTATTCCCCAATATCAATCGATTCTCAATCCATTTCCAATGCAAGCTTTCTATCTTGTTCTTTCTACAAACACGTTTCCGCTATGCTGGCACTATGCCTTTCTAGCAATACGCATATGGAAGGAGTGGGTCGCCGCCTTACGAACCAGCTTCGGGCATGTATCCCCCTTGAATTCTGCTTGCATGAAGTTGTGTGCCTGAAGCAGCTTACTTTGCTCTGAGGCTACACATCGACGTTCAGCAAATTAGCCGACCAAGTGGATGACATGATCAACAAGGAGCGGCTCGACATTTCGAGCCTCAAGTACGAAATACATTTTGAGGTGCGATGCACGCGACCGCACAACTTCAATGATGACGTCCTGTGAAATAACGAGGAATGGTTGAACTAGGAAAGTGTGTGATACAAATATGAAACCCTAGAAACCTGTACCCCTTAGTGTCTACCACACTAGAGTCTACAAACACTATGTCATATATACCTGACACACCCCCATAGGCAAAGTGGGGGAGAACTAGGGGTCACAAGACCACTCAAGCATAGCAAGCTCAGGGTGGATCACAATGTCACCACACATTCCGAACACCAGTTCAAGGCTACAAGGCCAAATCACATGCAGGATTATATATAAAGGTAAACAAGCAAGTGCAGATATAGATGGATCACAGTACAAGCAAGGTCAAGAAGTGAGCAAGTGAGGCCAAGTAGGCACAAGACCTAGCACGTACAGAAGCGCTGATGATCACAAGGCTGAGCTGCCTTGGTAAAGATATCAGCAGTGTTGGCCCGAGAGGCCACGTAAGCAAGGCGCGGCTAACCACGCTGCTGCAGCTCACGAGCAAGGAAGTAGCGAAGAGCAATGTGCTTCGTTCTGTGCTCCAGTCTGTGCTCTCGACACAGGGCCAGCATGGCCTTGTTGTCTACGTACAGAACTAAAGGAGAACGAGGCGGCTCTCCTAGGTCAGTCAGCAGGTAGGTGAGCAAGCGTAACTCCTGTGCAGCCATGGCCCCTGCGTAGATCTCAGCCTCACAGCTGGAGCCGAGAACAGAAGACGAGCGGGTAGACCGCCACGAAACAGAGCCGGAACCAAGGGTGAAGGTGTAACCCTGTGACGACCGCTGTGTAGCCTGGTCGTCAGCCCAAGAAGCATCTGCGTGGCCAGTGAGGACCAGTGGACTCCGCCCTCCAAGCATAAGCCCCATGCTCGATGTACTGCACAAGTAGCGCAACACCCTCTTCGCTCCAGCCATGTGCTTAGGTCTGTGTCTCCCAGGAGCAACATAGCGTGCCAAGATGCTAAGAGGGTATGCAAGGACAGGTCGAGTGTAGGTCATCAGGTAAATGAGGCAGCCAACAAGCTCTGGGTACGGGCCACTCGGCTCTACGGACTCATCCGAAGGCAGAGCTAAGAGCGAGTGGCGAGTAGACAGAGGAGTGGCCTGAGGCGAGGAGTACGTGAAGCCGAAGCGCTGAAGGACCTGCTGCACCATGTGTGACTGAGTCAGGGTAATGGTGCGCTGTGCTCTGTCCCGAGTGATCTGCAAGCCAAGGTAGTTGCGCAGTTCACCCAGGTCTGTGCACGTGTGTCTCTTCTGCAGCTCCGACTTCACGTGGGCAAGTCCAGCAGTGTCAGCAGTAGCAAAGACCAAGTCGTCGATGTACACGAGGATGTAGAACGGCGGCAAAGAGGTGTCGGTGCGTAGAAACATCGACGGGTCCGCAGTCGAAGGAGCAAACCCAAGAGCCGCAAGTGTAGTCCTCAGTGTGTCGTGCCACTCACGGGGCGCCTGGCGAAGACCGTAGACTGGCCGCCGAAGGCTCCACTGGGTGCCAGGAGGAAATGACCCAGTGAAGCCAGGTGGGCGGCGCAGCCAGATCTCCTCGTGCAGGCTGCCCTGCAAGAAAGCAGTGCTAAAGTCAAGAGAGTGAAGCTCGTAGTCACGCTGAGCGGCTATGTGCAGCAGCACCCGAAGAGTGGTCATCTTCGGGGTGGGAGAGAAGGTCTGAAAGTAGTCAACTCCCTGCCGCTGACTGAAGCCTCGAGCCACGTAACGCGCCTTGAAGACAGGCGGAGAACCCGGCAGTCGCTTCACCCTGAAAATCCACATGACACTGACGATGTTCGCCCCAGGTGGGGGAACCTCGTCGACGTAGGTGCCTGTGGACTTCCAGGAAGCCATCTGTGCATCCATGGCTGACTGCCACTGAGAGCAGTAGGGACCCTCTATCACCTCTGCGTAAGAGGGTGGAGTCGGGATGTCTGGTGTATCCGGGTCTCCCTCAGGGGCAATCATCATGGACCCGAGATGAGGTAAAGTAGCAGCAAAACACTGGAACTCCTCCTGCCTGTCCTCAAGGACGTCCGTGAAGGAGCCGCGAAGGGCCGCGAAGGGCCGCGGAGGGGCCGCGAAGGGGCCGCGAAGGGCGGCGAAGGGGCCGAGAAGGGTCCACGAGGGGCCGCGAAGGGGCCGTGAAGGGCGGCGAAGGGGCCGATAAGGGGCCGTGAGGGGCCGCGAAGGGGCCGGGAGGGGCCACGAGGGGCCGTGAAGGGGCCGCGAAGGGCCGTGAGAGGGACCACGAAGGGTCGCGAAGGGGCCGCGAAGGGCTGTGAGAGGAGCCGCAAAGGGGCCTTAAGAGGGCGCGACGGGCCACTAAGGGCAGGGGACGCGACGGGAGGGCAGGCGTTCGGGGCGCGACTAGGGCAGGCGCGAAGCGCGCTCCGGGCAGGTAAGGAAAAGAAAAATCGCACTAGGGAACCTGCTCTATACCATGTGAAATAACGAGGAATGGTTGAAAAAGGAAAGTGTGTGATACAAATGTGAAACCCTAGAAACCTGTACCCCTTAGTGTCTACCCCACTAGAGCCTACAAACACTATGTCATATATATGTGACACGTCCAACTAGCTGAATGAACGGACTCCCTGATGCAGTGAGCAAGGGTAGTTTATGGGAGGGCACTCGATTTTGTTGATTGACTCAGCAGCCCACGATCAACGATGTGAATTCTCCGAGTCAAGCCAAGCAGCGGTATACATTTGGCAGGGCCTGTGCCAAAAGTTTATAAACGGTACATGATGGTAACACAATTACAAGGCCTCCCAACTTCTCTAACCAGCGACGAAGTAATCCCAACCCCTCACCAATCGAGCCCGGGGGCCTGTCCAAAGTTTATGGGCTTGGCGAAAAGTATACTGAAGTTGCCTCCCCGCACTAGCCCAATCTCAAAGCATGCCGTTCACACACAGGATTACTAAGATAACTCAGAGGGTCCAATGTGGTAGGAGCTGCGATCATAGCGTATGCCTCGTCCTTAGGTCATACGCCCCCAACACACTAGTTTATTTCAGCGTCGCCTAGTACGCCTTACCACGCCTTACGAAGAGAACATTTGCGACCGCTTGTACATAGCTTCGCGGCAACGCCTCGCCGTAATTCGTCGCCGCATTAGGCGCCTATTTGTGGCCTCGCAGAAGCTAGCGGCAAAGGCCTCGCCGCGCCGTGTCGAGCTGCTGAATCCGGATCCGCAGTAACAGTCCGCCGCGTGTGTTTTCGTCGCGAACACGATAGCTAGCACACTCGCACACGTCCACGCCGTCTAGGCAAAAGCCATCACAAGTGCATGTAAGATGGCGTGGGTTTAGGCCTCGTTCCCATCTCTCCTTCCCGTCTCCCGATCTCACCAAGCCGCCGCACCGTCTTCCCTTCCCAGCTCCCCGACAACTCCTATTCTCGCAACCCCCTTCCCTCCACCCAATCTCCATTACCCGCCGCCCATCTCCCATTCCCGCCGCACGATCTCGCCATCCCGCCGGCCAAACTAACGTGCTCGCCTGCCAAACCTTCCTTGCGCCGCCCGAACTCCCCATCCCGCCACCCGATCTCCCCTTCCCGCCGCCTGATCCCCCCTTTCCGCCGCCCGATCTCCCTTTCCGCCGCCCGATCTCCCTTTCCGCCGCCCAATCTCCCTTTTCCGCCGCCCAATCTCCCTTTTCCGCTGCCCAATCTCTACTTCCCGCGGCTCAATCTCCCCTTCCCGCCTCCCGTTCTCCCCTTCCCCCCTACCGTCTAGCCCCTTCCCGCCTCCCGCTCTCCCATTCCCGCCACATGGTGGTGGCTTCCCGCCTCTTCTCCCTTTCCCGCCCCGCAAATTCCCTTCCAGCCTCCAGGTCTCCCCTTCACGCCTCCCCTGCATCGCCCTCTCCCCATCCCCGCATCTCCCTCTCCCCATCCCCGCATCTCCCTCTCCCCATCCCCGCATCCCCCTCTCCCCATCCCCGCATCCCCCCCTCCCCATCCCCGCATCCCCGTCTCCCCATCCCCGCATCCCCCTCTCCCCATCCCCGCATCTCCCTCTCCCCATCCCCGCATCTCCCTCTCCCCATCCCCGCATCCCGCTCTCCCCATCCCCGCATCCCTGTCTCCCCATCTGTTATAGTCACAGTAGGCTCCAATGTGCCTAAAACGAAAGATAGAGTGCACAGCCGCATTTCTGCACAGCGGCTTCAAACGTTCATAGCGATCTTCTCACAACTCCAAATGACTTCATTCAACTTGGATCTGGAGCGCCTTAACGTCCCCTACAATAGGAATTTTAAATCGCACGCTTTCATTAAGAATTGACGACACAGCGTTGGTTTGAACGAACGGCACTATGGCAGCAACATAGTCTTAGAACACAAGATAGGAAGAGTTAGGAAGAGTTACGAGTTGGGAATGACTCCCAGCTCCTACAAACCCCAAGAGCCGAGGTATAGTGATATGGAACAGTGCCACACTGTCCCCAACCACGAAGGGTCTCGAAACTACCCTTCACTAGGGCCTACACCAAGTGAAATGTTACACTACACAAAGTAATGTAACTATCTTCAATATCTTGAGGTGCACCCTTTTGGCGAGCTTCGAAATCACTTGAGGCTTGACACCAAGGCTCCGGCTCTTCATCACAAACTCATCCTTGAGTTCTTGATGGGTCAGCTGCACACACCTGCGACACGCCGAACGTTCGACACATGACAAAATAGAAACCACGCACGACAAAATAGAAACCGCGCGCGAGACACAAACGACCACGTAACACGCGTCTAGCGATAACTCGCTATTGACTCGACACACACACTCGACATCATGACTCAACATTCACACACAATTATAAGCATGAAATATATATTATCCCATGCCCTCATACCATTCCATACACACACACATGCACGCACACGGACAACAAGCCGAGTGCAAACCGTAGGGTTGCACCAACACCATCCCCGCATCCCCCTCTCCCCAATCCCTGGATCCCCCTCTCCCCATCCCCGCACCCCCCTCTCCCCACTCCCTGCATCCCCCTATCCCCATCCCCGCATCCCCCTCTCCCCATCCCCGCATCCCCCTCTCCCCAATCCTTGCATCCCCGTCTCCCCATCCCCCCTCTCCCCACTCCCTGCATCCCCCTCTCCCCATCCCCGCATCTCCCTCTCCCCATCCCCGCATCTCCCTCTCCCCATCCCCGCATCCCCCTCTCCCCATCCCCGCATCCCCCTCTCCCCATCCCTCCCTTCCCTCCCTTGGCTCCCTTCCCTCCTTTCCCACCCTACCTCCCTTTCCTCTCCCTTCCCTCCCTTCCCTCCCTTCCCTCCCTTCTCTCCCTTCCCTCCTTTCTCTCCCCCCTACCTTCTCGTCCATCTCTCAGGACTGCCCCCATCAGGGCCAACCCTCTCTGCGCACCTTTACTGTCTCCCCCTTTTGTTTTTCACATCCCGCCTCCCCATCTCGCTACCCCGCCTCCCCATCTCCCCTTCCTCTCAGCTCCTCTCTTTCCGCCCTTCCGTCCTACCTCTTCATCCTCACCCCTCCACCCCGCCTCCCCATCTCCTCAACCCCTCTTCCTTTCCTCTCCCTGCATCCCCATCTCCTCCCTGCATCCCCATCTCCTCTCCATGCATCTCCATCTCCTCTCCCTGCATCTCCATCTCCCCGCCCTGCATACCTCTCTCCCCTCCCTGCATCCTCCCTAAACCCTTCCAAAGCCTCCTTACTTCTCCCCTGCCCCCTCCTACCTCCCTTCGTTTTCTGCCCTGCTCCCCTCATTTCCCCCCTTGATTCACCTCATTTCCCCTCCTCACTTCTGTCATCACAGCCTATGGTTCGAATACTCCCCCTCTCCTCGACTATTGGCATTTCAGTGACCAACTGCTTTGAAGATCTTCATGCTTCAACTCGCCTCACACCATCATCTCATGTCAAATCAGCTAGAGAAAGGGTCAATAGTATAGAATTCATCATAGCGAGAACATATTTCTTCATAGCTATATGTGATGTTATGTGACATCTTTATACTGTCGATGCATCTTTATTGAATAATCTGCACTGCTGAAATCGTGGTAGCACATAGCGGGCTTTATGATGAATATCTCTAGTAGTAACACACTGTCAAATGTTGCACATTGATGTGATAGGCTGTAGTGAGTTGCACTCTAGGGGGTACAGCTTCTAGGGTTGCTTATTTGTACCCCATTCGTTTCTATTCCAATCATCCCGTTGCGTTCACTGTTTGAGATGGTATCACGAGTAGTTACGTTCCTAGCCTAGCCCTCCGTGCGCCTAGCGCCTGTCAAATCGTAATGTTCTGTAGGCTGTAGTGGGGTAGCCTATATGGGGTACACATTTCTAGGGTTGCACATTTGTACCACATTCCATTCCTTAGCACACTCATTCTCGTTTCAGTTTTCTCATGGTATCAGAGCAGGTTCCCTCGTGGGAACTGTGCCTAGGGCCCACCAAGTCGATTTTTTTTTCTCCTGCCCGGAGCGCGCTCAGCCCGAGTCGCGCTCCCCTCTCTGACTTCGTCGAGCCGCCCTAGCGGCCAAGTCGCGCCGCCTTAGCGGCCCCTGATTTGTCGCCCTAGCGACCCTGTTGCCCTACCTACGCCCCGGCCCCGTCGCCCTACCTGCGACCCCGGCCCCGTCGCCCCACCTGCGACCCTGGCCCCGTCGCCATACCTGCGGCCCCGGCCCTAGCCCCGTCGCCCTACCTGCGCCCCGGCCCCGTCGCCCTGCTTGCGACCCCGGCCCCGTCGCCCCACCTCCGACCCCGGCCCCGTCACCCTACCAGCGCCCCGGCCCTGGCCCCGTCGCCCTACCTGCGTACCGGCCCCGTCGCCCTACCTTCGACCCAGCCCCGTCGCCCAACCTACGGCCCCGCCCCACCGCCCTCCCTGCGGCCCAGCCGCCCTACATGCGGCCCCGCTGCCCTACCTACGGCCCAGCCGCCCTACCTGCGGCTCAGCCGCCCTACCTGCGGCCCAGCCGCCCTACCTGCGGCCCAGCCGCCCTACCTGCGGCCCCGCCGCCCTACCTGCGCCCCCCCCCCCCCCCGCCCCACCTGCGGCCCCGCCGCCCCACCTGCGGCCCCGCCGCCCTACCAACGGCCCCGCCGCCCTACCTGCGGCCTCGGCGCACTACCTGCGGTCCCGGCCTCGTCCCCTACCGCCCGAGCCGCCTACGCAGCCGAGCCGCCCGCGCCGCTAAGCAGCCCGAGCCGCCCGTTCCGCCCGAGCCGCCCGAGCCGCCCGAGCCGCCCGAGCCGCCCGAGCCGCCCGAGCCGCCTGAGCAGCTGAGGAGCCGAGCCGCGGGTGCCGCCGAGCCGCAGTTGCTGCCGAGCCGCCCGAGCTGCCCGAACCACCCTGTCTGGTGAGAGCAGCGCCTCTGTCACTGCATTGCCCCTGCTCTACAGCTAGCGCTGCTAGTCTACTGCTGTCATGGCTACCCCCAGTGTTCTCACTTTTGACGCTGAGGGTCGGGCCATTGACTTTGACGTCTGGGTAGATGACCTGCAGCTTTTCCTACAGTGCGAAAAGGCAGACGGTCTCTCCCTCTTTGACCTCACCTCAAGTGCTTCCCCTTCCCCTGCTGCCGATGCCGACGCCACTAGTCGCTCACAGTAGGCCACTCGCGATGCTGCTGCACGTCTTGCTGTGCGTCGCCACCTGCCTACCACTGAGCGCGCGCACTTTAGTCGGTACAAGAGTGCTCAGACCTTGTACGACGCTGTAGTTGCGCGCTACTCCTCCCCTGCCACTGCTGCACTGAGCCGCCTCATGCTACCGTACCTCTTCCCTGAACTTGCTGCCTTTCCCACAGTTGCTGACCTCATTACGCACCTCCGCACTAGTGACACTCGCTACCGCGCTGCGCTTCCTGTTGAGTTCTGCGCCAGGAACCCCCCCCCCCCCCTATGTACATCACTCTCTACTACATAGTCATCCGCCTCCCTAACTCCCTTCGTGTAGTCAGAGAATACTTCCTCTCAGTCTGTCCCACCACTCTCACTGTTGACCTCCTCGAGAAGGCCCTCTTAGCAGCGGAGAAGAGCATAGTCGCTGTAGGAGCCTCTCGTGGTGACCCTCGCACCCCCATCTTTGAGGGGTGTTCCCCCTCCCCCCTTTTGCCCTCTGTCGCCTCTACTGTTCCGACCGACCTCGTTGGTCTTGAGTCGGACGGTACGGCGTCTACCCCCAACAGGAGACGCCGCTCTGGCAAGGGCAAGGGGGGCAGGGGCGCTGGAGGAGCTAGCGGGGGTGGTGGAGGCGGCGGTGGAGGCGGCGGAGGGAGTGGGGGTGGCGGTGGGAGTGGTGGCGGGGGTGGAGGTGTCGGTGGCGGTAGCGGAGGCGGAGGCGGCGGAGGCGGTAGCGGTGGGAGCGGAGGCGGCGGTGGTGGCGGAGGTGGAGGAGGCGGTGGTGGAGGAGGTGGAGCTGGTCAGGGTGGCGCTACTCAGCGGGGCGGCTCCGGTGGTGGTCAGCGCTAGCAGCAGCAGCAGCAGCGTTCTCGGGACATCACCCCCCCTCAGCAGCTCCGTGAGTGGTACGCTGCACGTCAGCGTGGTGGGGTTACCGGTCCGTGCACCTACGTCCGACGCAACAGCGACCGCGCGGGTGAGGAGTGTGGGGGTGCACACCCCACCCAGCGCTGCTTTGGCCGCCTGACGGATGCTTCGCGTCACCAGTTCCCGGAGGCCACTGAGATCCCCCGCTGGGGTGAGCTGTCTAGGGCGGGTGTAGCTATCTTTGATCTTGACTTTGATGCTATTCTTGCTGCCATATATGGTGTGACAATTAGAGATGAGGGTGACTGTTACTGGTGTTTCCCGCCCGACTCGGGCATTGAGACTGCTGCTCTAGGTACTGGTGAGGCTGCTGCTCTAGGTGCCAGTGAGGCTGCTGCTCTAGGTGCCAGTGCGTCTGCGTCCTCAGGTGCAGGTGAGTCTGCGCTCTCAGGTACTGCGTCGGCTTCGGCCTCCCTCACCTTCACACTTGACTCAGGGGATTCTCGCTCCTTCTTTCGATACCGCACCACACTCACGCCGCTTGGTCGGCCGGTTGCAGTCTCCCTGGCAGACCCCTCTAGGGGTCTTGTCCTTGCTCACTACTCCACTATCCTCCCGTATTCGGCGGCCCCCTCTGGCACCTTGTCTGGTCTTTACCTCCCCTTGTTCTCTACGAACCTGGTGAGTGGTGCTGACCAACAGGATGCGGGGGTTCACCAGTTTACTACTGCGAGTCAGCGGGTGGCCCACTGCTCGGACGCTCGCACAGGCCGGCACCTGGCCACGTTTACGCGTCGGCCGGGGTCGAGCCTCTACACCCAGACCACTAGGTCTCCTCCTGTCCCTGCGTCTGGTCAGGTAGCTGCGTCGGGTCAGGTGTTTGCTGCAGCGTCCAGGTCTGGTCCTAAGTCTGCCCCCTGCTCGTGTCGCCTCATGTCTCACGAGACTCTCCTCTTGCACCACCACCTTGGTCACCCCTCCCTGCCTCGTCTCCGAGGCATGGCCTCCCGTGTCCTTGTCTCTAATCTTCCCCGGTCCCTCCCTCCCCTTCCTTCGGGGCCTGGCCCTACCTGCGTCCCTTGTGTCGAGGGGCGGCTGCGGGATGCCCCTCACTCCTCTCAGTTTCCCCCGACAGAGGCCCCGCTGCAGACGCTTCACATGGACATGTGGGGCCCGGCCCGCGTCCGTGGACAGGGTCACGAGCGCTACTTCCTACTGGTGGTTGACGACTACTCGCGTTACACCACAGTCTTTCCCTTGCGTAGCAAGGGTGATGTCACTGAGGTGTTGATCGACTGGATCCGCGCAACTCGTCTCCAGCTCCGGAGGAGCTTCGGCTCGTACTTTCCAGTTCTGCGTCTGCACTCTGACCGAGGCGGAGAGTTCTCCTCTGGCCTTCTGCGAGCCTACTGTCGTGCGCGAGGCATCCGCCAGACCTTTACGCTTCCGGACTCTCCACACCAAAATGGGATTTCTGAGTGCCGCATTGGCATGGTCATGGACGTCGCCTGTACGTCCATGATTTATGCGGCTGCCCCCCATTTTCTGTGGCCGTTTGCGGTTCGGTACGCGGCGCATCAGATCAACCTTCACCCCAGGGTCTCCATGCCGGAGACCTCCCTAGCTTTGCTGTGGACGGGGAAGGTAGGAGATGCGTCTGCATTCCGTGTCTGGGGATCTCGGGCGTTTGTCCGCGACTTGTCTGCGGACAAGCTATCCCCTCCTGCTGCTCCTTGCGTCTTCCTTGGCTTCCCCCCTGACGCGCAAGGGTGGCAGTTCTACCACCCCACCTCTCGTCGTGTTCTGTCCTCCAAGGACGTCACGTTTGAAAAGTCGGTCCCCTACTACCGTCTTTTCCCCTACCGCACTCCTTCCCTCCCCCCGCCACCGCTCTTCCTTGTGCCAGGTCCCCCCCCGGTAGACCCCCTCCCCCCTCAGGGTCCTGCCCCTTCAGGTGTGTCCCAGGTAGACGCAATCGAGCCTGTCGAGGTTACTGGTGACTCTGGTGCTGCTGCGGGTGCTGAGCCTGGGGGTGCTGACCCTGGGGGTGCTGAGCGTGTGGGTACTACGCCTGGGGGTGCTGGGCGTGGGGGAGCTGAGACTGGGGGTGCAGAGCCTGGGGGTGCTACGCCTGGGGGTGCTGAGCCTGGGGTTGCCACGTTTGGAGCTGCTAAGCCTGGGGGTGCGGAGCCGG